GGCATTGCAGTCTGGCAGCGCCACCGGCTCCTTGCCTTGTCCGGGAGCCTGGCGGGGCGCCACGCTGCAGCTGGAAAGTTTCTGTGCAGAGGGGAGTGTGAGTTGAGTTAAAAACTTTAATAGAAAATCTATATATAATGCGCACCCCAGCTTTGACCCTAAAAAACCGGGGGGGGGGGGAGATTGAGATTTTTACGGTATTTGCAATATTGGATAACTGTGAATCCCATCCATTGGATTAAATGTTGAGGGAACCAGAAATGCTTTATAACTTCAGGTTTCTTTATCAGGTTGATTTGATTCTACTTGTTTGTCTTACATTGCTGTGTTAGTCTTAGTGACAAATATAACATGCTATTAAGCTCAGTAGGAACTTGTAATTGATAGAAGTTGTCATTAAAAGAAAGGTAATGTTACATAGTTAAGTATTCAGGTCAGAAAATGACTTAAGGATGCACATTCAAACTTAATTCTGCATCTGTGCATACATATTTTGATTACAAGCTAGTGTGGATGCTTAATACATGGTCAAATACAATCCCTCAATTTTCCCCCTAAAGTATTAGATGCATTTGTGTTGTATCTTGGACGATTTTTTTTTGTTCTTCTATATTTATCCTGTTTCCCATGTTATGGTGGTTGAGGTCATCCTTAACGTAGACTTTTATATAGTACATTCTTACCTATCTTACCCAAATATGTGGCTTATTTAGTTAGTTGCCATATCTTGTACAATTTTCTTTCAACCACATACATTTTTGCATATAATTAACAGGGATCAGGTAGTTATGAAATATTTATCTGTTAGCTATGCAATATCTAAAGTACCCCTAGAAAATTGTCGTCCTTGTTGCACTGTTCTGCAGTGTTTGTGAAAATGGTACAATAATGCACTTGACTTCTGATAGAAATTACTACTAGAATATTTCTAGCAAATGCATTACTACTAGATACCACACTCTTCTAAGGGCTAGCTACACTAGAAGCACTACAGTACAGCAGTACTGGGGTATGTCTACAGAGCAGTGTTATTTTGGAATAACTAATGTTATTCCTTAATAACATAGTCTGCTTCTACCCCCCATGCAGTTATTTTGACATATCAAAATAACATCCAGCCAGGGGACTTCTTACTCCAACTCCTGTAACACTCATTTTACGAAGATTGAGTAGTTGGAGGAAGAGTGCTCTACTTTGCACTTACTGCTGTGTAGTTAGCACCAAAAGCTGAAATAAGCTATTTTGACTTAAGCCCGTGGTCACCAACCAGTAGATCGTGAGCTACCGGTAGATCTCAGGGGCTCTAAGAGTAGCTCTTGAGCCCTCTCTGAACTGCGCACCTGCGCAGTACATTTACATTAGATTTCCTCATTTGAGGAGCAGCTACTCACTGAGCAACAACACAGGTGAGTAGCTGCGAGGAATGGTGGGAGCTGGGAGGTCGGGAGGGCTGAAACACCCCAGCCAGCTGACTGTGGCTTTCACAGCTGGAGCTAGGCGCAGCCTCCCTGGGCTGAGCGCAGGGCAGCCGGGCTGGAGGGAAGAGGGGCAGCTGCCCGGCCAGCTGGCCATGGTGCTCAGCCAGGGTGCACCACGCTCCACGTGGGCTGGCGCAGAGGAGAAGCTGCCTGGCCTGCTGGCTGTGGTGTTCAGCCCAGAGGAGGCTGAACTGTGCTCCAGCTGATTGGGCGGCTTCCCCTCTGCGCCTGCCTACGTGGAGCTTGGTGGCACCCTGGCTGAGCTCCATGGCCAGCTGGCTGGGCAGCCGCCTTTCTTCGCTCCCGCCT